TGAAAAACACCACAGGGTAATGGAGAGCACATGCTTCCAGATGACAGAGAAGAACATGAGGGATTACTCACACCCATGCACATCCTTGTCATTCAGGATCAACAATTTTGTGGTATTCATTCCAGACTTTCCCTCCTGGTTTCACTACAGTGCCAAAAGATAAGTCTATTTATCTTGCAATGCATTTGGCGATTCTGGAAGGTTGCTCAGTATATTGTCTCCACACTGGATTTTCCACTGTAAGCTACATTGAAAACAATTAAATAAAATCCAAAAGAATGCCTGGGATTTTTCTTTACTTAATGCTGTACTTCAGGCATGGATAGGGAAGTGACCCAAAATCTGTCTTTAGAGTTTTAATTGGTAAAAACGCAACTAGTTGTCACGCTGCTGGAGCACGACAGCATTTTAGCTGCAGTAACTCCCCAAACTCTTAAGCATTCATGAATTAGCTAGCAGGTTAAAGGTATGAAGAAAATTACTTTTTTTCACTTGGAGTACACATTCTAGCAGAGTGAAGGGAAGCATTTTTCATGCACTGAATTTAGGCGTGCAGATGTGTACAAGGTACAGGAGCATTGCTAGGTTTGCCCCTGGTTGTTAAATGGCCAACTGAGATTCAAGGAATTGTTCAAGATCATTCACCTCATCTATGAGACATTCAGGAATGTCTTTTTTCTCAGCTCTCCTTACTCAGGAGATCTATTCTGTTTTTCTTTTCATTGTCACAAGTACAGGGTTGGATATAACTGCTATTCTCATGTTGCCCTACTCCACCAGTACTGGGCAGTTTTGGGGAGGGGGGTGTGTGTGTCACAGTACTCAGAATTATTTAACCTCCTAAAGACAGCATTTTTTTTCCTATGCCTTAGAACTAGGGTCACAGTGTCAGTAATGATCAGTCTGCATTTATGGTTTCATAGCTGCCTTTCAACTAATTCAGCACAACCACTTAGAATCATAGAATGCTTCGGGTTGGAAGAGACCTTTAGAGGTCATCTAGTCCAACCCCCCTGCAGTGAGCAGGGACCCCTTTAACTCGATCAGGTTGCTCAGAGCCCCGTCCAACCTGACCTTGAATGTTTCCAGGGATGGGGCCTCCACCACCTCTCTAGGCAACCTGTTCCAGTGTTTCACCACCCTCATTGTAAAAAATTTCTTCCTTATATGTAGTCTAAATCCACCCTGTTTTAATTTAAAATTATTATCCCTTGTCCTGTCACAACCAATCCTGCTAAAAAGATTTTCCCCATCTTTGCTATAGGCCCCCTTTAAGTACTGAAAGGCTGCAATCAGGTCTCCCTGCAGCTTTCTCTTCTCCAGGCTGAACATCCCCAACTCTCTCAGCCTGTCCTCACAGGAGAAGTGCTCCAGCCCTCAAATCATTTTAGTAGCCCTCCTCTGGACCCGCTCCAACTGTTCCATGTCCTTCTTGTGCTGAGGACTCCAGAGCTGGACACGGTACTCCAGGTGAGGTCTCACCAGAGCAGAGTAGAGGGGCAGAATCATCTCCCTCGACCTGCTGGCCATGTTTTTTTTGATGCAGCCCAGGAGATGGTTGGCCTTCTGGGCTGCCAGTGCACATTGCTGGCTCATGTCCATCCACCAGCACCGCCAAGTCCCTCTCGGCAGGGCTGCTCTCGATCCTTTCATCTCCCAGCCTGTATTGATACTGGGGGTTGTCCCAACCCAGGTGCAGGACCTTGCACTTGGCCTTGTTGAACCTCATGAGGTTCACACAGGCCCACCTCTCCAGCTTGTCCACTTGCAGCTATGTGGTCATTTAATCTCCTATGGTTCTATTTTAGAAAATTAAAAATAACACTTTAAAAACAAACTCCAAAGGGGCACGGGGAATGAGTCTCACACTCCAATATATTCTGAGGCCCCCTTAAATTTAATTTTAAAATAGCTGTCATTTATCTCTTCCCCTCAACTCAGAAAGTAGAGATCTAAATTTACCTTAACTCTCTGAAATCCCAGCTGAGAGTTGCAAAATGAGGTGTGTACAACCTCATTGCACGGCTATGCCTTTTTTTTCTCCTGTATTTCCCAAATTAGCTCATTTATAAACAGTTCTGAAAACAAAAAGGTCAAAGCCAATAAAAAAGTCTATCTTGAAGAATATGTTGGAGAAATCAAATGACATTCACTATGCCTTGTAGGCATGTTTGTTTATTTCTTGGTTAGATGATATTAGCTATAGCATCTTCCCTAAGAATGCATTATGATACTTTGTGGAATTTCTCTTTTTGCCATTGATGGACACTGGCAGAGCTTCATCGTTCTTAATCCTGAATTTACTATTCATAAATAAATCTATTCCTGTATGTGCATGGTACAGCTTTTATGAAATCAAATCCAAGTTAAGACATAGAAATGAAGAAGGCTATGGCTACCAGGCAGATCACACCAGAGTAAGAGTGTCTATATATTCCAGTAAAAAACATTTGTGACCTAGAGCATCACTAACTATAATGTTTATAAAGAAATTCTAATACAGCTAATTACATCTGGGTAAAGAGTCACTCCCACACATATGTAAAACTGGACAAACAGCAACACTCATTTACCCTTTGAATCGCTGCTGTCCTAGCTTTTGCAGAAGGCGGTTCATTACATTGTCATCTCTGGATCACTCAAAATCAAATTCACTTGACTGCAAGGTTTTCAAGACAATGAATTATTAACTGCCTTCTGCTATAATTATGTCTTTCTAAACCAAATCTTGGAATGATTAAAACAACATGACATAGAGACTGGCTTGCTTGCTGACTTCATCAAGTGAACAAGCGGGTTTTTTATTTATTCACAGCTACAACCTCCTGAACATGATAAAGCTCCCTTATCTTGGTGCTGAGGATACAACACTAATTTGCAAGTGTCTGCCAAAAAGAAGCAACTGAACAATTCGAACTTACTTTACTGTAGCGCTAAAATCTACTTATAACTCATCTTCTTATGGAGCCACTTTCATTTGTTAATTTAATCCAATTCCTTTACGTACCACTCTAAAAAGCTAGAGAGAGAAGTGGACATTTGATTGCCTACCCTGGCTTCACATTCAAATACAGTAGAAGCTTAATGACACACAATTGACTCCTGAAAGTCATTCTGATGGCTTTACATGACTGATTCTGTTTGCCTTTGTTTAAGTGTTTAAGAGCAGAATCTCTGTTGTGTTTACAGCCTGAAGATCAGTGCCCTCAGCAAACCCATTTATCTGAACTTTCTAAATGCAGTTCTTGTTATGCTTGTATAGTTGAGGCTGTCATGTACAATCCATTAAAGGAGTGTTGCATGCATTAAAGATTTTTTGCATGTGCACAAACATGAACTCAGAACAACTTTATCTTTAGAATGAAAATAAAAAGGAGTTGAGCTAAATACTGCAGCGTAGTGAAGAGCAGATGTGGCCTTTATCTGGGAAGGAATATATAGTCAGTGCTTATACAGCCACTGGTCAAAGCTCCTTTGGGCTGCCTAGACCACATCTCAGGTAAATCCACACATTGCAACCACATTTCATGTCAATCCCATGTTTCTGTCCTATTCTATTTGGACACTCACCATCTCTAAGTTGTTCCTTGTAATAAGCATGGCTTCACAGACTGTCAGCAAATTGCATGCGATCAGAAATTAGACCTGGAAGCAATTTTTCACTTTCACCTATTATTTAGTCTCTGCTTAGGACTTGAATCATAGAATGATTTGGGTTGGAAGGGACCTTTAAAGGTCATGTAGTCCAATCCACCTGCAATGAGCAGGGACAAGGTACTTCATTTAAGATGCAGGTGGTTCCTGATTCAAAGAGTTCACAATCTTAAGAAAAAGATATGCGTCTCACCAAGCTCTACTTTGCTACTTTTGTGTTTACCAAAATTCTTGCATTACTCTAGACCCCCAGTCGTTTGCAACATCACTACAATTCTGGGCATGCTAAGACTTACCATTTATGTCACACTGGGGACACACCTTGCCTAGGCTGTGGCAGAAATCATGCACAACACATTGTGAAATGCAGACAGAAATTAAGATTATTTTTTTTTCAGGTGTGTTGAAAAGCAAGATCTTAAAAGGAATTTGAAAGAGTAGTAGAATTTGTTTGTTTTAGTGTAGAAATACAAGTTACTGAATATACCCAAATTAATCGCGCACACACGGAGAATCCTACTCCTTCTACAAAGCAGCTCTTCACCGGAAAAGTAGCAAACATGAATAAATTTGTACGAAGATGGATTAATAAAAAAAAATTTAGTTTTTTTGAATAGTTATAGTTACGCTAGTCAGATAAATCAATTTTATTTTCCACTGCATGGAGAACAGACTACATAAATGTACAGAAAGTATCTGTCAAAAACAGCTCGAAAGAGGTTTTTCTGTATTATCTGAAACTAATTCTAAGTTTTAATGGAATTTCCCACAAAATGATGGGATTAAAAAAAATACACCTTTATTTTAATTACATCAAACCCAAAGATTTATGTTTTGAACTTGCTTTTACACTCAGAATTCCATGCCCTTCAACTTTCCTGAGGCCCTTTTTCAAGTGTTGTCTACTCCTCTTATCCCAGGAACAACAGAAAATCCTGTCTCAAACTCTGACCAGCTCTGTTCACAGTGTGCTGCACTGCTGCCAGACTTGCTCTTTCACTTCTTTCTGCCTACTAAGTCCCTCTTGATGTAACCCCTGACTGTCTACTAAACCTTTACTACAGTGACATGAAGCAGGAAAATACTTTCCCCTCATTTGTTACAATCACAGAACTGAACCACAGACAGATGAAGCAACTTCACTGTGACCACACAGGATGTTAGAGAGAGAGAAATGAATCCTGGATCTCTCAAGTCTCAGCAAGTCTTTCAATTGCAAATCCTAAACAAATTTTAAACACAGAACAAGAGCAAGAAAGTCTGTACAAGATCATTCAAGAGACTAATCACTGAATTAATTTGAAAAAAGCAGAATAGAAAGTCTTTTACTTGACATAAATTCTTACCTAGAACATCTCTTTCATGTTCAGGGACAAGAACTTTCCATTTGGATTCCTCTGGGTCACTGAAGTCAATGTTGATTAACCGGTAATTTGGAGAATGGCGGTTTGTCTTGAAAGTGAACACTGTTCCTTCATTGGTGACATACTCGTACTCGGCCTCAAAGTTATCTATCAGCTTCACCCATTGAAGAATTCCTGCAAGATTATACATACAATGTAAGTTCTTCACCTCCTGAAACAAAAGCTTTTAACACCTGAGGGCAAAGTCCTCCTGACAATTGCTGTAGGCTCTTTCTTTGAACAACAGCAGTGACCAGATGAGGTACAGCTACAGAAAGGGCCAAATACGTACTAAGTATTAAGAACTTACAAACAATTCTCCAGATTAATAGGCTGCAGTGGAAAAATGCCAGTTGTGGACATGTTAACATACTGGTTTCTGAGGAATTTCTAGCAAAATACAAGCAGAATACTGACAGAACTATGTCTAGTGGTTCACCAACTTTCGTAAGGGGCTGCTGGAAAGCTCAGATGTTTGTCACAGAGGTGCTTCTATCACACTAACTGCTGTGGAGCCAACGCTGCTGAGCACCTCAGGTTCTGGCCAATGGAGCTCACAATCACCCACTTCCACAGACTTTTTGAAATGGGAATTCACAGAGGAGTCAAAAGACTCTGCACTAAGCTTTCAAGCTCAATTTTATTTTTAATAGTTTTTAAAATTATTATTTAATTATAAATGATTATTTTTTTTCTTTCTGAAAAGAAGTTACTTTTTCTTAAAATGGAAAGTTTTCCATCCTCCTTAAAAGCCCAGAACTTCCCACAGAATAGAAATGATGCTATTTGAATCAGTACAATCAACTTCAATATCAGGAATTTCCCTGTCAATTCAGAAACAACATTCCTGATGTATTGCTCTGCAGAAGCTTGTCACCACCAAAGGACAACTACAGACAGTTAGCTAAAATGTTAACTTCTGGGTCTGTGAAGAATAAATTGTATTTTCTAGAATATCACACTCACTAATAGAAATTCACTTCTCTCAAACATGAATTGCCTCAGTTTACTCTGTACCACAGCCTTAGTGTGACTCAACCTGGAGTTGGGACTGAAAGACTCCGCTACTTTTTATTCACATTTTATTGTTTTGCAATAGGTTTAGAGGGTAGTAGAAAAATCAGATATGTAATATGCTTGTTATATCTACAACCCAACTTATCAACCAATCTTACTGTTATAAGCGTCATACTATGCTTATATGCTATGCTGAACAATTAGAATCCATATTGATAGATGAAATGAAAGCTTTTATAATATCTTAAAAATAACATTTGGCCCACTGTCTGTCTCTTCCGTAAAACTAAACGTTGGGTCTTTTAAGCGTAAAGAAATAAGCTCTGCATAAATCTGTTCATGAAACTATAATATAATGTTTGCATCAATAAAACAGCTCATCAGCTTATTTTATAATATTAAAAGCTGAGTAGAATAATGGAAGTAGATCATAGCTGAGCTGTAATTACTGTAAGTTCAAAAAAAAAAAAAGAATAATTGAGGAAGCAGTGAGATGGCTAAGGTCATTTTAAACCCATTAAACGTAATAAGAGAGTATAGCCAGGCCTAGTACATTCATAAAGCTCATATCTCTTAATTGCCGTTTTGGTTTAAAGAAAACTTCCTTGTCTCTTCATGCGAAGTGATAGATTATCCAATTAAATTCTACTTTTCATACTGCTGTAATACAAACTTTCCAGACAATCCAGCCAACTTAGTATCCTGTCTCTGAGCGAACCAATTACATGTTAAATCTTGATTATCACTGAGGTCCAAAGTTTTGTCCTTCTCAAGAGATTTTACGTTGAAGAAAAATCCTGCTAAGTCCTTCCAGTTGCTCAGAGTCCTATAGAGAAAGCCTGCTTGACACCCAGTAAAACAAAGAAAATCCGGCCTACAGTGAACTCCAATATACACCAATGAAACTGTTTTAAGATCTCGAGTCACATACACAAGTGTTTTAGTAAATAAAATCTTCACTGCAGTATAACACTGTAACAATACTGGAAGATGTGAGGTTTAGTATCTGACAGAATGAAACCATCCTACTAAAGAAGAGCAAGACTTCATAAAAAGGAATCCCCAGACTATTGGAAAAAAAAAAAAACAAACAAACCAAAAAAACACTAAACATTTTTTTTAATGGTAAATGTGCACAGTAACTGCAGTCTCCGTGATTGCAACAGAAGTTGGATACCGTGAAGAAAAAGGACAATAATGTGACATTAGGTATATACATTGCTGCCTTGCAACTCATTCATCCACTCCCAAATGAACAGCTAGCAAAACAGCGAGAGGGTTGATATTCTACAGGGATACACTAAGTTGTTATTACAAAATCAAGAGCATTCATCTTGTTAAAGTGGATGTTATATAGTCCTTAGAAGACAAATATCGCAGATGAATTACCTCTAAACCATTGTCTCACTGAAGTGGTTAAATGTGCCAATATCTAGCCTAAGTTAAGAGGTGGTAATGAGGCAATTACAAGCCTTACACATCAGGTCCATCACTACTGTACAGAGTATGTGCTGCAGTTTTCCAGCAAGAGGAAGAAACCCTTTGCAGTGAGACAGGTATCAGATGTAAGAGGATGAGGATGCATCTTTATGGCTGGTTGCAGCTGACCCAGTTGCGGGCCATGACTGAAAGGGATTTATCTAGCATTGCCTTAGCTTAGCTCTCTCGTTTGGGCTAGGAATAACAATCTGGTAACCAGCTCGGCCAGTTCACTGGGCACTAATATGGCTTAAAACTGATTGGGGAGGGAACCATTTATCGCCAGGTCACACCAGTGGCAGCACATGGGAGAGGCAGGCCTACGCAGGCCCCCTGCTGAGCACACCAGCCTTGCTGCCAAGTTGAACTAACACCTAATCATTGCCATAGAGAAGTTTGTCCTTCATCACATTACTCCTAGCCTGCTGCTTCTGTTTTGCTCATCTGCCCCAATAGTGAGCTGGTTCAATGAGTTAAATGACAAAAAACCCAATGGTGCCACAAGATAGTTTTCTCTTTTGCTGCCTGAAGCAGCTCACTGCTCGGGCAGAGGAGTGCCACTATATACATGGCAGCTGGTATGCACAAGGCAGCAGCAGCAGAGAGAGAGAGGCTGAAGAGAAGCAACAACATTTTTCATTAGCAATGAGCCATAAGATAAGCTTGACTGCAGCAAAACTGCACCCTCCCATTTCTCCCTCCTCCTCCATCAGCATGTCTCCACCTTCATGCTTGGTTTGGCATTTGCCTGAGTGAATAGCAAAGCTGACTGAATTAGCTAACCTAGAAGAAAACTAATCTCTGTATTTTACATACTATTTCCCCCATGACAGATTAGTGAGTGCAATCACCTAACCACAGGGTCATACAGGTGAAGGTGCTGACCAACTCAACAGGAGGGTTAGGTGTTAGGTAGTCCAGGAACATGAGAAGATAGATGGGACATCTCTCCTTTCCATGGCAGCAACTGCTTAGCCTGGATCTGCTTGTCTCATAAAACTGCTCCCTTCAGTACCCAAAAGGCCCTGGGGATTGGATAAGGCAGATTTTTATTAAAGACAGCACATTACACCAGGAGGAGAGTTTGCTTGAATGAACACAGTTTGAAGCGTAGAACATACCTCACCAAAGCTTCTGTCTTTCTGTGTCAGGAATAAATCTACAAGTCTGTCAAGACAGACATGCATTTCCAATTCAAACTCTGTGAAAGTATATTAAGCATAACTCTTCTTTTTCTTCAGGTCTTTTGTCTACATGCGTGACTACTAAGTACTAGGAAAGGTATCTGCATGCAGCTTTCACCTGGCCTGAATTTAGGGTGAATGATCTGGAGTAACTGGTTAAACATTCAAAAGCACAGTGAACTATGTACTGAGGGCCTCAAGCAGCGCTCACTTCCTTACAGCACCTTCTCTGTACGTGTGGAACAGAGCACTCTTAACAGAAGCTGAATGAGCTGGCTGAGCTGTTATCTAAGCAACAGTGATCAAAGGTAAGCAAAAAAGTGGTTTAGTATGCAGTGCAGATATGGGAAAGTGCACTTGATCATGGAGGACCCACATTATAACTTCTGGAAGAGTAATAAAGATATCTACACACAGTCTAGATGGGACAACGCAAAGCCTCCCAAGTAACTTGTTGCAACACTAAGTCACATGCACTAGTTCCCAAGAGACCCGAGAAAGTCAGTGAAGGTATCGACAAATATACAGCCATAGTCAAAAAAGCAGATGCCTTACTTAAGTGCATATAGCTAAGGAAATTCAGAGATGAACTATGTGGTTTCACTAAAACAGGCATCTGGAAAGGGCTCTGCAGGTGTGGATGACTGGTAGTCTTCCCAGGAGCTAGACAAGATGCAGGAAACAGAGGTTCAGAATAGACCAGAAGTAATGATAAAAGGCCTAAAATATAGTTTTCATACAAAATGACCTATGAAAATACCTCATGCCTTAAAGAAAAGATGAATACACAAGAGCATGATAAAATGTATAAAACAATGAATGATTAGGAGCTGTGGTGCCCAGACCTTCTGTCAGAGCAAGGATGCTGGTCCTAGACAGGTCATAAGACCACAGCCAGTTCTCCATTGCATGACTGAAAACTCAAGTGATCAGCACATCCATACTTACAAATGGCCTGAAGTACATGCACACATCCTATCATACGACTAGATGGATACTCACTTGCTGGTTACATACCTGACCAAAAGTGAATGTATGCACAGTGTTGTGTGTCATGCATATTATCTATCCAGTTATTGAAACAGGAGAGGGATGACAAGTCTCAGAAACAAGGAATGGTCTGTTGACCCCCATAGTTCATGCAAACCAGTTTCTCCTCACCTCTGAAGCACTCCAGCAATAATAGCACCAAGGCCCATGAATGCAAGGTTGGTTACTGTGCTTTAGAAGCAGGTGAAGGATTCTTGCTTCAGTCTCAAAATCAGAACAAACAGCCTCTCACTAACAAGAATAACAGCACATCTGTAAGTTATGACTTTAAAAAGGCCTCCAGAACCAAGGCAAAGGATGGGCACTCAGTTCATTCTTCTCTAAAAGAAAGGAGGGGAGGGGGAAGGCGAAGAACTGAGTCTTCATAGAGATTTGCAGGTTTAACCAGCAGCCCTCTGAGAACGT